CATCGACAGGACAAATTCATCTAAGGAAATGATTGCTACCATCCTCAGAGACCATCTTGTCTGCATGGAGCACTTTATCTGTTTGTGTGATCTAATGGTTTTACTGTTTTATATTGTGTTATGTATGGGCTTATGCCCCTGTGTAAGCCGCCCTGAGCTGTTCGTGGGGAGGGCGGGGTAAAAATGCAAATAAATAAATAAATAAATAAATGAATGAATGCATGCATGCATGCATGGACTGCATTCATTTGCAGACAGAAACTTTAAATCCTACCATGTATTTTGATTACCCGGTAATTCCCACCGAAGGCAAATGAGCGGAGCCTCTGGAAGCTCAATGTTGTCATATTTGGAGGCAGGAGCTTTTTTTTGTAGAAAATGCCCAGCAGGAACTCATTAGCATACCAGGCCACACCCAACAGCATAAACTCATTAGCATTTTAGGCCACACCCCTGACAATACAGCTCATTAGCATATTAGGCTACAACCCCATGCCTTCCCCCGGATTGCCCGGGCGCCCCATCAAGCTGGCTCTTGGAGGGAAGGGAAAACAGTTTAAACTGGCTTCCCGTGGCTTGCTTGGGGGCGCGGGGGCCGCGGGGGGGCCCGGGCAAGCCGGGCCTTGGACAGGCCAAGGAAGGCACAGGGAGGCCTTGGCGTCGCCGGGGTGTGTGTGTGTGTGTGTCGCTCTCCAGGCCTTCCCCCGTAGCCACACACTCTTGAGGTTTCTGCTGTAGTGGGTGTGGCCAACTCTGAAGCCAGCCGGAACTTCGTTCCTGTGCGTTCCTGCCCCCAAAAAAGCCCTGCTTGGAGGCAAAACTGATAGAATCATAGAGTTGGGACGCAATGTTCCCTCTAAGCTGTGGAGTCTTGTGAGCAAAAATTCTACCTTGTGAGCTCCTGGCATTAAAGTTGTGAGCGAGCAATTTGGCTGCTGCATAAACCAGTTTGCTCTGGAGCCATCCTTCCTGAGCTAAGACAAAAATGTGTGAGCCAGAGGCTAAAACACTGTGAGCTAGCTCACACTAACTCAGCTTAGAGGGAACACTGGTTGGGAGGGACCTCCAGGGTCATCTAGTCCAACCCCCCGTACAATGCAGGGAATTCACAAATACCTCCCCCCCTACACACACCCAGTGGCCCCTGTTCCATACCCAGAAGATGACGAAAAACCTCCAGGATCTCCGGCCAAACTGGCCTGGAGAAAAACTGCTTCCTGACCCCAAAGTGGCGATCGGGCATTTCCCTGGGCGTGTAAGAAAGGGCCATGAGAACTGAGCGCTGATGCCACCCTCCCTGCTTTCCCTCTCACGATCTGCCTGAGTTCACAGAAATGAGAGGAAGACAACTCCCGTAACGGGTACTTCTGTCTGTCGTTCAGGATGTATTGACCTGTGGGACATACCAAAGGCTACCGTCCAGCAATCTCTCTTGCTCTCTCCTTGAGCTGGCTCCATATTGGCTACCGGGAAGTCTTTTTGCCTTGGGTCCCACACCTTCACAGTGCCTGTAGGAATGGATAGTTCATTACTCTGTTACTGACAAAACGGCTCCTTTTTCAGCCCCCCCCCCGCACTTGCTTTTAAGAAAACAGGTTTTACGTCTTCTGTGACTGTTCCTTATACTAAGCCTACTGCAAACACCGAACAGATGAAATGGCGAGATTCCATGCTTTCAAAATTTAATGGAAATCATCTGTTTCTCCTTTATCCTGAGGCATTTGGCAAAGCTACCTAAAAGGGAAATCAGTTGAAATACTATTTTCCAGGACCTGAAAGTTGTTTTTTTCATTCGACAGATAATCAAGAAATCAATACTATAAATGTCTATACCGTACAGAGCTGTTTGCAATTGGCTTGCTTTACGCTCTTGTTTGTACCCCTGGCCCATACGCAGGTATCAGTTTGCTACGGCCCCTTAATGACTTATGTAAAAACTCTGTTCCCTGTCGGACTCAAAATAGAACATACAGCATGTGTAGATCTGATTGCAGGATACTTGTAACCGTATCAGATGGCAGCTGGGAAACCTTGAATGGAAAAAAAGACGGACCAATACCACTGTCACCAAGTATACACTGGTGAAGAAAAAACCATAGAGCAGCAGAGATTAGTAAGTACAGGGAAGGAATGTTTTCAAGATGGCATTTGGAGTTCCGGGATTTCAACTTCTAAAACTTCTCCCTGCTGAGTTCTAAATTGCTGCTTACGTTTTAAGGTATCTTTAGACCCAAGGGTTATGGTCCCTGTTTAATATGCCGTGACAATGGCAAGAGGTCCCGAAAGCAATACACAGGGAAAAGCTTTTTCGGGTTTATAATATTAGAAATCAGCAAGCTTTAACGGGAGCTCAATGTGACCGGATTGCCAAATATACCTGAACAGTTAACATACGTGTCTTTCCAACAACTGGTCGCGTTCATTCAAATTCCAACCCCACCCCCACCAATTTGCGGGCTGCAAACTATCATTTGACCAGTTTGCACATAACTGTACATTGCAGCTTGCCAACACACAGGAAAAGAAGAAGAACGCTCGAGCACATGTGTCATGATCTGTGCGGGACTGGAAGCAAGGTCTAGTGCAGCCTAGTCCCAGGAGGGACCTGCAGGGCAGTGGAAAGCAGACATAGCCTACAATCCCCACAATGCTTAGCGACAGTTGTAACCAATCAGTGTCTAGGGATTGTGTGAAGCGACTGTGAAAAACTGTATGCTATGAGGAAACGGGTGTTCTTTTCTCTTCTGCGGTCTTCCCTCTCACAGGGGACAGTCTGGTCTGAGAGACAGATCCCCCACTTGGGACAGAGTGAGTACAGGCAGAGGCCTGGTATAAGAAGCTGTGGGCCTTGAAATAGTAACCAGTTAAGAGAAATAGGTAGTCACGTTAGACTTGATTATTTTGCCTTTAAACACTGTTATATATTTTAAAGCACCTTGTCTTGTTATCAATGTCCCATTAATGTATTCATAAACCCTTTGTTTTATCTTCTCTGCCTGGTCACGCCTCTATTTTCTCAGCTTAAAAGGGGCATTTTTGGTTGGGTTTGGGAGGGCCTTCCCAAGGGACCCTAAGTCCAGAGTGGTGGCAGACAAAGGTGGCGACCCACAGGGGGTCATGACAACATGGCAGAAAGGGGAAGTAGGGTTGCAACTGCTGGAGGAAAAAAATAATGCCCTGTCCCTTTAAAAGAGGCTTAATGGGATGTTATTTATCAGGGGATGTGATTTCAGCCACACAAAAAAGCTCCAGCTGCCAATTCCCAGGCTTCAAGCCTCTATTCAAGGGGCAGAACATTTCTTTCCGGGCCTGACGGCAACTTTAGCTGGGAGCCCTAACAGCAGCCATGAAATTAAAAGACGCCTGCTCCTTGGGAGGAAAGCAATGGCGAACCTAAACAGCATGATAAAAAGTAGAGACATCACCCTGCCAACAAAAGTCCGCATGGTCAAAGCAATGGTATTCCCAGTAGTCATGTATGGCTGCGAGAGTTGGACTATAAGGAAGGCCGAGCGCCGAAGAATAGATTCTTTTGAACTATGGTGCTGGAGAAGACTCTTGAGAGTCCCTTGGACTGCAAAAAGATCAAATCAGTCAATCCTAAAAGAAATCAACCCTGACTGTTCCCTGGAAGGCCAGATAATGAAAATGAAGCTCAAATACTTTGGCCACCAAATGAGAAGGGAGCACTCACTGGAGAAGACCCTGATGCTGGGAAAGATTGAAGGTCAAAGAAGACGGGGACGGCAAAGGATGAGATGGTTAGACAGTGTCATAGATGCAACGGACATGAAATTGAGCCAACTTCAGAGGATGGCGGAAGACAGGAGGGCCTGGCGGGATCTGGTCCATGGGGTCGCAAAGAGTCGGACTTGACTGTGCGACTGAACAACAACAACAAAGGGAAGCAATGTGAGCATGGAACACATCATGTCTGAGTCACGGTGGCTCAAGTGGTTAAGACGCTGAGCAGCAGACCGGAAGGTCGGTAGTTCAGCAGTTCAAGACCCAGGTGCCGCATGATGGAGTGAGCTCCCGTCTCTGGCCCCAGCTCCTGCCAACCTAGCAGTTCGAAAGCAAGAAACTGCAAGTAGATAAATAGGGACCACTTCGGTCGGAAGGGAACAGCGTTCCGTGTGCCTCAGTGTTTAGTCATGCCGGCCACGTGACCACGGAGACGTCTTAGGACAGCGCTGGGTCTTTGGCTTGGAAACGGAGATGAGCACCATGCTCTGGAGTCGGATTCGACTGGCTTTTGAGCAAGGGAAACCTCTACCCTTTACCTAGGGAAGCAACGTGAGCATGGAACACATCACTGTATGACGACAGGCATCCTTTAGCATTCGGATGACAGGGCAAAATTTCTTCCCGAGTTTCGTAGAATCATAAGAGTTGGAAGGGACCTCCAGGGTCATCTAGTCCAACCCCCGGCACAATGTGGGAAATTCACAAATACCTCCCCTCCACACACACAGTGACCCCCACAGTGACCCCTGTTCTACGCATATCATGCTAACCTGAAGACGGCCATCAGCAAGATTAATACTGACCCATTTCCCCCCCAACCCACCCCCAGTAACGCTGCAAAGGTGGGGGGGGGCACCTCACCATCACGACTTCCGGTCACAATTTCTGGTGCTCCTTCCCCAATTCCTAAGCCGCCGACACCGTCAATACTATTTATGATTTCTTGATGTCCCTTCACGGAGTACACCGGGAGTTCCGGAGCTTCCAAATCCCTGAAGAGTGAAAAGGGAACAGTTATTTTGTGTCCCTCAACAGTTCTCAATGTGTTTGGATTCTCAACATGCAACATCGTCCTTAAAACAAACTGTCCCGATTTATTCAGACGCGATAGTTGTTATAGTTATATGCAAAGGCGTTTGTGAACGTTCTGGAGACAATGATCCATTAATCAAGACTGAAATTTACATGTTTAAGAGAAAACTGGTACAAAATGTTTTTAGATGGCACATAACCCCAAAGGATACTGAGAAAGTAGACAAAAACGACAGAGGAAAATGCTTGAAATGTCAAGACGTAGATGGAACCTTTTACTATATGTGGTGGACTTGTAAAAAAGCAAAAATATATTGAAAGGAAATATGTGGAAAAATGCCGAACATATTAAAATTCAGATTCCCTGTGGCAGCTAAGAATATGCTGTTAGGGGTACTGCCTAATAAATTCCCAAAAATTTTGGAAGAGCTATTCAAATACATGGTGACGGTAGCTAGAATTATCTATATATAAGCTTGCCAACTATACAGTAATGTGAAATTAACAACCTATTTGAGAAACAGATCAATTACGAAATATGGGGAGTGATGGTGTGTTTTATGCAAGCAGGAGACACATTTAGAATGAGAAACAGTTTAAAAATTAGTTTAAAAATTAGTTGTTGTAGATTTTCCGGGCTGTCTGCCCGTGGTCTTGGCCTTTTAGGACCTGACGTTTTGCCAGCAGCTGTGACTGGCATCCTCAGAGGTATAACACAGGAAGATGGAGTACTCTCTGTGTCAAGGTGAGAAGAAAAATGATAGGCAGGTAATTTATATCTACTCAGGAAAGGTGGGGTAGGACTCAGTCATTATCTTGTAGGAGTTCCCTAGGCTGTGACATGCTAATGGAGGCGCTTTCCTGAGGAGGTTCTTCTGCACATGGGTTGGCTGTTGAAATTCTAATCTTATCTGTAGTGCTGTGCTGAGATGTAGAGCATTTTGTGTTTTTCAGGACTGGAAACCAAGCCCTATTTATTTTTAAACTTGCGTGTTGAAACTGTGTTTATATTTATGAATTTCAATGGCTTCCCTGTGTAATCTGACACGGTAATTGGATGTGTTGTCCAGCATTTCAGTGTCTTGGAGTAAGATACTGTGTTCTTTTGCATATGGATCACATCATAAGAAGACAAGAATTAAAGACCATAATGCAGGGGTGTCAAAAATAAGACCCAGGGGCCAGAATCGGCCCGTCCAGGGCTTCTACCGGGCCAACAAGTAACTGGTATGTATGGAAATGTAAGGTATTTTAAGGTCTCCCTTGGAAAAACCTAGTCTTGCATATGATTAAATACATTTATTGTGGCTTTTGTGGGCTCCCCAGTAAATCAATTGTTTTCACTGCTAGGAATCAATTGCTTTTGTTTGTATTTTGAGTTAAAATAATATTGTTAATTAAGTTTGCTGGTGTCCTTTACAAAGTTTATATCTCCAGTACCTGACATTACATTTTATGGCACACATGGCCCGGCCCGACAAACTGACATTTGTGTCAGATCCGGCCCACATAACAAATCAGTTCGACACCCCTGCCATAATGCTAGGAAAAGTTGAAGGGATCAGGAAAAGAAGTGGACTGGCTCCAAAAAGGAAGCCGTGGCTCTCAGTTTGCAAGACCTGACCAAAGCTGTTAATGACATGACGTTTTGGAAGTCATTAATTCATAGAATCCCCTAAGTAGAGATGTGAAGGCCCGGAAAAAAACCAGAAAAATTCGGGGGGGAAACAGGGGTTTTCCTGAAGCCTTTTTTGTTTTTTTCCGAAAAATTGGAAAAAGAAAAGAAAAAAATTGATTATGGAGCATTTTATTTTAAAAAAAATTGATTATGGAACATTTTATTTTAACATGATGAATAAAATATTTTAAGACAAGGTGTTCAAATATTTTCCAAATCATTTCTAAAAAATATGTATGGTATCAGATTGATCTAATTTCTGTGCACTGAGGACAAGCAAGTCCTAGGTTACAAACTGAACTCTCCAATGCAAGAACAAGATGCATTTCTTCCTTTAGGAGGTGCTATTGTCACCAGAAAAGAAAAAGGTCTCAGTTCTGTTTTTGCATGTGGGCGGGTATTCTGTTTGTAATAATCGTTTGGATACACTATATTTTTAATAGGCTAGTTGTGATCATTTCATGCCAAGTAAAAATGTCCATAGTCATATTTTATGTTCCTAAAGTAACAGAATGACTTTCAATCTGGAAAAGAAAAAAAGAAGTGCTAATGTACCATTTTTTTCCAATTTTTCGGAAAATTTCCATTTTTTTCTAGGGGGGAAAAATGGGCTTTTTTCCGAGCTTCAACATTTCCTGAAATTTTACATCTCTACTCCTAAGTCAAAAGCAACTTGATGGCGCTTACCACATAGACACAGCCAGTGTTCCCTCTAAGCTGTGGAGTCTTGTGGGCAAAAATTCTACTTTATGAGCTCCTGGCATTAAAGTTGTGAGCAACCAATTTGGCTACTGCGTTAATTAATTTGCTCTGGAGCCATCCTTCCCGGGCGAAGAAAAAAATGTGTGAGCTGGAGGCTAAAGAACGGTGAGCTGGCTCACACTCACTCGGCTTAGAGGGAACACCGGACACAGCCTAACACACGGCTGGTGCTGTAAAACAGAAACGTGTTGCTACTAAGGCAGGCAGACTGGCTTCTTTGCGAAGTAAACTCCGTCCAGACGGCACGCAAAGGGTTTTTTTGTCATTTAAAGAATTAAATGAAGCAAACAGAATCCCTTCGCCAAAAAGCTTTCTTTGGCTACACTCTGCCTGCGAAGAACAGCTTTTAGGAAAAAGCCTTCCACTTGAGTATGACCTTTCTAGACAATAGCCAGGATTGACAGAGCTGCTTGAAGCACATTCACAGACCTGGGCATGCCCAGGGGAAATCTGTGTACTTTCCCCCTTTGCACAGTCAACTGTTGTGGCTGATGAGACACCTGGATTCGGAGAGCTCCTCCGTTCCAAAGCAGTTTGCCTTCAGGCACTGGGAAGGGGAGGCTGCCCTTTGAAAGAAACAGCCCCAGTGTCCCCTTGGGCGTGCAGAACTCGTTCCTGGGATCTCAGCCAGTGTCTGCTCATATAAAGCACCAGGAAAAACCACACGGGGGCTGACATAATCAACTCAACTTTCTACAAAACAGAAGCTTTGTATTAGCTTGCTCTAGGGTTGCCAGCCTCCAGGTGGGGCCCGGAGATCTCTCACTTTTACACCTGATCGCCAGCTGACAGCGATCAGCTCCCCCCACCCCCCGGAGAAAATGACAGGAGTACTCTGTCCATGAATGTTAGCTGCACAATGTGTCTTTGGTAGGACCGGAAAAAAGCATCCATGCAACTATTAAGAAGGCTGCCCCCCTTTTTGGAAGACTTCATGCAGAAAATGACAGGAGTACTCCGTCCATGAATGTTAGCTGCACAATATGTCTTTTGTAGGACCGGCAAAAAGGATCCATACAACTATTAAGAAGGCTGCCTCCCTTTTTGGAAGACTTCATGCAAGGAGAAGAGGGCTTATAATTCTAGAAACTCCCGTTGGGGCTTGACTTTTAAAACACTGATGCAAAATTGTCTGGTAGTTAGCAATCTGTATGTACTGAATGTTACTGCTGATTGAATTTAATGAATATTTATACCTGACTAGGATGAAATAATGATACACTATGCACTTTACTAAATGATGAGCATAAATAGAACACATTCGTTTGCTAAAAGGTTTTTGCAGTGTATATTTATTTGTTACTAGCCTCTCCTAACCCTGCAGCTCGGGTTGCTTCAGCCTTCAGGTGGGGCCCGGAAATCTCTCGCTTTTACACCTGATCTCCAGCTGACCGAGATCCGCTCCCCCCGGAGAAAATGGCCACTTCGAAGGGCAGGCTCTGTGGCACGGTACCCTGCTGAGGCTCCTCCCCTACCCCAAACCCCGCCCTCTCCCGGATCCACCCCCCAAAGTCTCCAGGTATTTT